TTATGTAAATAAGGTATTTCTGTTTTTAAATTTTGTTATACATTTGCAAAATTTTCTAAAAACCAGTTTTCGCTTTGTCATTATGGGGTATTGGGTGTAGATTGATGAGGAACAAAATTAATTTAATCAATTTCAGAATAAGGCTGTAACGTAACAAAATGTGGAAAAAGTCAAGGGGTCTGAAAACTTTCCGAATACACTGTATTTACTAAACTTTAGACATACGAGTTACCAGACTCTGGAAATTCCTTTGGTCTTTACCGAGTTAGGTAAATCAGCTTTTAGTTTTCTAGCACCTTATTTGTGGAACAATCTTCAAAATGTTCTTACATTTGATATTTTGGTGTCTCTAGGGCAATTCAGAAAGCTGATGGAGGACCTTATTAGTGATGAATGTGTTTGTTTTTATGACCATGTTGTTCTTTCTGCTTGCATTTAGAATTTATATTGATGTGTGTATTTTCTGTAATTTAGGGCTCATCTGTAAAAGAGACCTTGGTCTCAGTATGACTACCTGATAAAATAAAGGTTAAATAAAAAAATAAAAAATATATATATATATATTTCTATGGCTAGTTCTATGTCTTGAAATGTATCATGGTCAAATTGCTAAATATTCAACTAAAACATTTGTTCATGTAATCATATGCAATGCATCTTCATAAACCAATATCCCTCAAGTCAAAGAGGGTGATCAAATTTGCAGTGGTCTCGAGAGCTCATCTCACTATTTGGGATTATATATATAAAAAAAACGCTGGAGGGAGTCTGAATATATTGACACCCCCCCCGGCATCATCGCCAGCTCTGAGGAAACAGACAGATGAATATTTATAGCACCATCTGCAGACAGAGGTTTATCTATTCTAAAGTCTTGACCCTTGAACACATTTTTGCATTTTGGTTTAACTTCTAAATGTAATAAGCGTAGGCCTGAATAGTTGTATCCCAACTGGTAATGAGAGCACTTAGGCAACAGTAGACTAAAAGGATGGGATATTTACTTTGGAAGCTATACACACACACACACACACACACACACACACACACACACACACTGTAGCGACACGAATCGTCTCTGATCTCCCAAATGTTACTTCCTGTCTAGGAAGCCATTTGAGCTCATGACATCTTTATGACTTGTCATTATTTAATCATGGGTGTGCACCGCAATTTAGGATTTACAACAGTAGAAATTCCACCATTCTGTCCCAAGATTCCTTCCCAAAAACAATCTAAACAAACAATGAAAAATGCATACAAAAGATGGGATACATAGCGGAAACAGATCTGCATTACAATATTTCCCCCGAAATAGCATCAGGCCCAGTCTCTACATGTTGTTGGGTTATTGGACAGACTAAATGAGTGCTCCTCCCTGTGGTTGATCTAGGGAATTACACATTGGTGTTTCCATCTGCATCTAACCCCATTATAAACACCCATTAACATTAACAGCATCTCTCTCTCTCTCTGTCAGCCATCACTAACAGGCAGGAGTCATGATTTCTCACTGACTGGAATAACAACTTGGCAATCAGAGTGAATTGGTGGAAAGGAGACAGTCCTCCTGAGCACTGTAGTGTGGAGTGTGTGTTTAGGAGAGAGAGGGCGAGAGAGAGAGCTGTGTGCTGAGAAAATGCCATGGGATGTGAGGAGGCTGGGATGTGTGGAGAGGTGGAAGAGGGAAAGAGAGGAGGGGAGGAGAGGAGGAGGGGGGGTAGCACAGGGCCTCAGTCAGTCAGTCACACGCACAGTGGATTTACTGGAGAACCAGAATTACCTCAGGAGAGACACAGTGGATTTACTGGAGAACCAGAATTACCTCAGGAGAGACACAGTGGATTTACTGGAGAACCAGAATTACCTCAGGAGAGACACAGTGGATTTACTGGAGAACCAGAATTACCTCAGGAGAGACACAGTGGATTTACTGGAAAACCAGAATTACCTCAGGAGAGACACAGTGGATTTACTGGAGAACCAGAATTACCTCAGGAGAGAGACAGTGGATTTACTGGAGAACCAGAATTACCTCAGGAGAGAGACAGTGGATTTACTGGAGAACCAGAATTACCTCAGGAGAGACACAGTGGATTTACTGGAAAACCAGAATTACCTCAGGAGAGACAGGTGTACTCCAAGGTGAGGAAGATGATGGGGTGAGGAGGGAGAGGAGGGGGGCTGTTCAGCCCTAATGGCACCACCACTAAGCCCCTGGCTCAGAGCCAGGTGTGTGTGTGTATGTGTGTGTGTGTGTGTGTCAGGTGAGGTGAGCACACGGATGCCTGGCTCACCACAGTCAATGAATATGAATGCTTTGTTTACTTGTATTAACTCTGGTGTGCAGACCACCTCCCGACCGATGCACACACACACACACACTTCATTACCCCGACACTGTGGCAGTGGATCTCACTTTAGATAAAATGAGTGCCCTGCCTTGCCAGTGTATGTCTACCTGCAACACCATCCCTGCTGTATTAGGTGACTGTGCATGCTTAAATAAATAAAGGTTAAATAAAGGTTGAATAAATAAATGGTTGAATAAATAAAAGATGAAAGAAATAAAAGGTTAAATAAATGCTTCTGTGAGATAACAGGGGAGACTGATCAGTGTGAATGTCTTAATGATCCACACTGAATCATTCTATAGCCTGAGGACTCCTGATATCTCCAGGAGTGATAAGTGTTGTGGTCTAGTGCTGTCTTTTTGTCTCCCATAGTTTCTCAGCAGCAGCTGTAAGCAGTGGTTCTAAGACTGTTGCCGAAAACAAAGACGGTTTCTTACAAGTTACTCCAGGAAGTGAAGAGAGGAAGGCTTCACACCACTCTCTCACTTCAGTATCTTACCTTTTCAGATCTCATTTTGCTCTTTTGTAGCTTTGGTAACTATGTGTTTCCATCCCAGTTCACTTCTCTCCCTGTAGGCTTTACAGACGCTCCCCACCCCTTGGCTGCTCCTCTCCCTGTAGGCTTTACAGACGCTCCTCACCCCTTGGCTGCTCCTCCCCCTGTAGGCTTTACAGACGCTCCCCACCCCTTGGCTGCTCCTCTCCCCTTGGCTTTACAGACGCTCCCCACCCCTTGGCTGCTCCTCTCCCTGTAGGCTTTACAGACGCTCCCCACCCCTTGGCTGCTCCTCCCCCTGTAGGCTTTACAGACGCTCCCCACCCCTTGGCTGCTCCTCTCCCTGTAGGCTTTACAGACGCTCCCCACCCCTTGGCTGCTCCTCTCCCTGTAGGCTTTACAGACGCTCCCCACCCCTTGGCTGCTCCTCCCCCTGTAGGTTTTACAGACGCTCCCCACCCCTTGGCTGCTCCTCTCCCTGTAGGCTTTACAGACGCTCCCCACCCCTTGGCTGCTCCTCTCCCTGTAGGCTTTACAGACGCTCCCCACCCCTTGGCTGCTCCTCTCCCTGTAGGCTTTACAGACGCTCCCCATCCCTTGGCTGCTCCTCTCCCTGTAGGCTTTACAGACGCTCCCCACCCCTTGGCTGCTCCTCCCCCTGTAGGCTTTACAGACGCTCCCCACCCCTTGGCTGCTCCTCTCCCTGTAGGCTTTACAGACGCTCCCCACCCCTTGGCTGCTCCTCCCCCTGTAGGCTTTACAGACGCTCCCCACCCCTTGGCTGCTCCTCTCCCTGTAGGCTTTACAGACGCTCCCCACCCCTTGGCTGCTCCTCTCCCTGTAGGCTTTACAGACGCTCCCCACCCCTTGGCTGCTCCTCCCCCTGTAGGCTTTACAGACGCTCCCCACCCCTTGGCTGCTCCTCCCCCAGTAGGCTTTACAGACGCTCCCCACCCCTTGGCTGCTCCTCTCCCTGTAGGCTTTACAGACGCTCCCCACCCCTTGGCTGCAACCCTTCTGATTTAGTGGACCCTGCGCGCCCAACCCATGTGGAATTCCGGGTCTTTGGCCGTCTTTTGAACTGCCAATCTGCGTTCCAGAACACAGAGTTAATCTCAGCCTATGCTGCCCTTCAGTCCCTAGACGTTTTGGCCCTGATGGAGACATGGATCCCCCCAGAGAACACTGCTAGTCCAGCTGCTCTCTCTTCATCTGACTAGGTTTTCTCTCATAGCCCAAGAGCATCTGATTGTCGCGGTGGTGGCACAGGGCTACTCATTTCTCCTAAGTGGAAACTCCAAGCGGGCTGTCATGTGCCTTTTACTGAGGAGTGGCTTCTGTCTGGCCACTCTACCATAAAGGCCTGATTGGTGAAATGCTGCAGAGATGGTTGTCCTTCTGGAAGTTTCCCCCATCTCCACTGAGGAGCTCTGTCAGAGTGACCATTGGGTTCTTGGTCACCTCCTTGACCAAGGCCCTTCTCCCCCAATTGCTCAGTTTGGAAGAGTCTTGGTGGTTCCAAACTTCTTTCATTCAAGAATGAGGCCACTGTTCTTGGAGACCTTCAATGCTGCAGACATGTTTTCGTACCCTTCCCCAGATCTGTGCCCCGACACAATCCTGTCTCGGAGCTCTACGGACAATTCCTTTGACCTCACGGCTTGGTTTTTGCTCTGACATGCACTGTCAACTGTGGAACCTTATATAAGTGAGTGCCTTTCCAAATTATGTACACAGGTGGACTCCAATCAAGTTGTATAAACTGCTAAAGGATGATCAATGGAAACAAGATGCACCTGAGCTCAATTTCGAATCTCATAGCAAAGGGTCTGAATACTTATGTAAATAAGATATCAGTTTTACATTTTTTGTAATACATTTGGAAACATTTCTAAACCTGTTTTTGCTTTGTCATTATGGGGTAGTGTGTGCAGATTTAAGAAACGATTTAATCAATTTTAGAATAAGGCTGTAACATAACAACATGTGATAAAGTGAAGGGACCACTGATCTATGGAATGACTGCCAGTCCACCCATTATGTCATCATTGACTTGACTGGGGAGGCCCGTTCTATAGGTTCTGTGGTCTGACCGCTGCGCTCTCTGCACTAAGTTTCCAAAGAAGAAAAAAATCATTAAAAAACAGTCAGGCAGCATCATGGACGACTTTATTCCATTTGCAACTGATGGTGGCAAAACGCACTTTGATCAATTGGGTTAACTTGGACACATCTCTTTTGATACGTGTACACCTGTGCTATGTTAAGAAATCAATGGGTGGAGAATATAGGACCCTATTTCATCTCTTGTACCTCCAGACTGCATTCACCGTGACCCTGTTGGCTTTTTAAGTGAGAGGTCAAGGAAGTTCTAAGACGATAGAGGGTAAGGAAGTGTGCAGTAGTCCATAGCTTTATTCCCATCACAGTGACAGTGCTACCGGCATCTAGCATTCACCCCTAAGGACTGAAGGAAGGTCTCCGCTCTCTTTAAGCTCCTGTAAAAAAAAAACACAGAACACACGTGTCAATACAGGTCTGATCTTCGTACCGGCTGATCATGATACATGAGAAAATAACAGCCTATTGGGTCCATCATGTAAGCCCCATTCCAACAGGATCCAGAAATAAATATTCTATTGATGCACAATAACTATGAATCGATTCACAGAGAGAACTCCTGTCTCATGAAACTAACTACGAATAGATTCACAGAGAACTCCTGTCTCATGAAACTAACTACGAATAGATTCACAGAGAACTCCTGTCTCATGAAACTAACTACGAATAGATTCACAGAGAACTCCTGTCTCATGAAACTAACTACGAATAGATTCACAGAGAACTCCTGTCTCATGAAACTAACTATGAATAGATACACAGAGAACTCCTGTCTCATGAAACTAACTACGAATAGATTCACAGAGAACTCCTGTCTCGTGAAACTAACTACGAATAGATTCACAGAGAACTCCTGTCTCGTGAAACTCATGTTATCACAATGCAGTCCTTGAAAGAACAGTGATTGACAGGTGATCTATTAGAACTGAACTCCAGCTGACTTTAATCTCTAGCTACTGTTGGGCAATATGCTGCTGTAAGCCCCCCGGAGTAGAGGCCTAGTTTATACAAAGCAAGGCTCTTGGTGAAATAAGTAGGCATACCAATAAGAGGATTACTGTTAGATACACCCTTGGGACATTATTATCTGCATGCTGTGTAACCTCCCTAGCATGGTTTAATGTAGTTCACTAAGAAACCTTGGTATTTACATTAGATCATCTTTTCCTCTGTGCTTTTTATTACGGAGGATGAACCCTCCATGCCGCTTACCTGACTGTACATGGGGTGAGGACATTAAGCAGGGTAAGCTAACAGAACACGGTGCTTTAGTGACACCAGGTGGAGAGACTGTGGTACTGCTGTTGTCTCTGTCTGTCCGGTTGATAGTATAAGGGTCGGTTTCCCGGGACACAGATTAAGCCTAGTTTGGGACTAAAAAGCTATTTTAATGGAGAATCTCCCTTGTGGATGGTTTTTAGTCCTGGACCAGGCTGAATATTTACATTTACATTTACATTTTAGTCATTTAGCAGACGCTCTTATCCAGAGCGACTTACAGTTAGTGAGTGCATACATTATTATTTTTTAAAATTTTTCATACTGGCCCCCCGTGGGAATCGAACCCACAACCGCCATGCAAACGCCATGCTCTACCAACTGAGCTACATCCCTGCCAGCCATTCCCTCCCCTACCCTGGACAACGCTGGGCCAATTGTGCGCCGCCCCATGGGTCTCCCGGTCGCGGCCGGCTACGACAGAGCCTGGATTCGAACCAGGATCTCTAGTGGCACAGCTAGCACTGCGATGCAGTGCCTTAGACCACTGCGCCACTCGGGAGACAAATATATGCCTAAGTGGTGGTAATAAGTGCAATAATGGTCTAAGGCAGAGCTGCCCAACCCTCTTCCTGGAGATCTACCGTCCTGTAGGTTCAGTCCAACCCTCTTCCTGGAGATCTCCTGTCCTGTAGGTTTTCAGTCCAACCCTCTTCCTGGAGATCTCCTGTCCTGTAGGTTCAGTCCAACCCTCTTCCTGGAGATCTCCTGTCCTGTGGGTTTTCAGTCCAACCCTCTTCCTGGAGATCTACTGTCCTGTAGGTTTTCAGTCCAACCCTCTTCCTGGAGATCTCCTGTCCTGTAGGTTTTCAGTCCAACCCTCTTCCTGGAGATCTCCTGTCCTGTAGGTTCAGTCCAACCCTCTTCCTGGAGATCTCCTGTCCTGTGGGTTTTCAGTCCAACCCTCTTCCTGGAGATCTACTGTCCTGTAGGTTTTCAGTCCAACCCTCTTCCTGGAGATCTACTGTCCTGTGGGTTTTCAGTCCAACCCTCTTCCTGGAGATCTCCTGTCCTGTGGGTTTTCAGTCCAACCCTCTTCCTGGAGATCTCCTGTCCTGTAGGTTCAGTCCAACCCTCTTCCTGGAGATCTACTGTCCTGTGGGTTTTCAGTCCAACCCTCTTCCTGGAGATCTCCGGTCCTGTGGGTTTTCAGTCCAACCCTCTTCCTGGAGATCTCCGGTCCTGTGGGTTTTCAGTCCAACCCTAATTTAGCATATCTGATTCAGCTAGTTAAGGTCTTGTTGAGCAGCTAATAAGTAGAATCAGGTGTGTTAAATTAGGGTTGGGCTGAAAACCCACAGGACAGTAGATCTCCAGGAAGAGGGTTGGACTGAAAACCCACAGGACAGTAGATCTCCAGGAAGAGGGTTGGACTGAACCTACAGGACAGTAGATCTCCAGGAAGAGTGTTGGACTGAAAACCTACAGGACAGTAGATCTCCAGGAAGAGGGTTGGACTGAAAACCCACAGGACAGGAGATCTCCAGGAAGAGGGTTGGACTGAACCTACAGGACAGTAGATCTCCAGGAAGAGGGTTGGACTGAAAACCTACAGGACAGTAGATCTCCAGGAAGAGGGTTGGACTGAAAACCCACAGGACAGGAGATCTCCAGGAAGTGGGTTGGGCAGCCCTGGCCTAAGGTGTAAAACTAAATCCATTCTCACCTTCACAATGTCCAGCCCGCCAATGAGTTCCCCCTTGACGTATAGCTGAGGGTACGTTGGCCAGTTTGAGTATGTCTTCAGCCCCTGTCTGACCTGGAGATTGGTGAGTGGAAGAGACATGAACAAAACAACGTTACACATCTTTAGGTTTCACCAACATCGTTTTGTGGGGGGCTCAAAGCTTCAAAGGGACTTTGGTTGCAAGGAAGAGGCGTTCAGAATCAAAACACCTAAAATTACAACATACGATCTGTTTTTCTGCATATTTGAATATCACTGCTGAGAAAATAAGCCTTGACTTAAATGAATCTAAAGCAAAATGTCCCAGACAGACACAGAGAGGCTGTTTTACCTCCTCGTCTTCCAGTATATCAAAGGTACTGTATTCCACTCTGCAAACACAAAGCACAGGCATGATATTAACCAAAGCATCATATTATAAAACAACATTTTCTCTGTCTCCATTCATTCCTCCTAGACCTCTAGTCCTCTGCATGCTGTACACTAAGGAATATCTCACTGGAGTTAACATGTGATTGAAATCTATCTGAATCTATGAATAATTACCACTAAAAATAACAACATGAAGAAGACATCTTATCTAAATAAATCAACGTAACAACATGATGAAGATATAGGGGTGTTATCTTACCCTGCACTGTTCATTATCATGATAAAGATATAGGGGTGTTATCTTACCCTGCACTGTTCATTATCATGATAAAGATATAGGGGTGTTATCTTACCCTGCACTGTTCATTATCATGATAAAGATATAGGGGTGTTATCTTACCCTGCACTGTTCATTATCATGATAAAGATATAGGGGTGTTATCTTACCCTGCACTGTTCATTATCATGATAAAGATATAGGGGTGTTATCTTACCCTGCACTGTTCATTATCATGATAAAGATATAGAGGTGTTATCTTACCCTGCACTGTTCATTATCATGATAAAGATATAGGGGTGTTATCTTACCCTGCACTGTTCATTATCATGATAAAGATATAGGGGTGTTATCTTACCCTGCACTGTTCATTATCATGATAAAGATATAGGGGTGTTATCTTACCCTGCACTGTTCATTATCATGATAAAGATCTAGGGGTGTTATCTTACCCTGCACTGTTCATTATCATGATAAAGATCTAGGGGTGTTATCTTACCCTGCACTGTTCATTATCATGATAAAGATCTAGGGGTGTTATCTTACCCTGCACTGTTCATTATCATGATAAAGATCTAGGGGTGTTATCTTACCCTGCACTGTTCATTATCATGATAAAGATCTAGGGGTGTTATGTTACCCTGCACTGTTCATTATCATGATAAAGATATAGGGGTGTTATCTTACCCTGCACTGTTCATTATCATGATAAAGATATAGGGGTGTTATCTTACCCTGCACTGTTCATTATCATGATAAAGATATAGGGGTGTTATCTTACCCTGCACTGTTCATTATCATGATAAAGATATAGGGGTGTTATCTTACCCTGCACTGTTCATTATCATGATAAAGATATAGGGGTGTTATCTTACCCTGCACTGTTCATTATCATGATAAAGATATAGGGGTGTTATCTTACCCTGCACTGTTCATTATCATGATAAAGATATAGGGGTGTTATCTTACCCTGCACTGTTCATTATCATGATAAAGATATAGGGGTGTTATCTTACCCTGCACTGTTCATTATCATGATAAAGATATAGGGGTGTTATCTTACCCTGCACTGTTCATTATCATGATAAAGATATAGGGGTGTTATCTTACCCTGCACTGTTCATTATCATGATAAAGATATAGGGGTGTTATCTTACCCTGCACTGTTCATTATCATGATAAAGATATAGGGGTGTTATCTTACCCTGCACTGTTCATTATCATGATAAAGATATAGGGGTGTTATCTTACCCTGCACTGTTCATTATCATGATAAAGATATAGGGGTGTTATCTTACCCTGCACTGTTCATTATCATGATAAAGATATAGGGGTGTTATCTTACCCTGCACTGTTCATTATCATGATAAAGATATAGGGGTGTTATCTTACCCCGCACTGTTCATTATCTCCAGTATCTGCCGACTGAATCCACATTTGGCTTGCTATAGACATAGGAAGAAAAACACACTTTAGATATAAAACTCCAGATCCTGGCCTGGGTATGATTAACAAAGAACATACACTTTATAATAAACATATTAAAACATTTCAGATCCTCCAACAGGTGAGTCCACACCAAACCATTTTATTGCAGAACCAAATTACAGGAAGGAATGTTTCTGGTCTTTTAAAAGGCAACGGTTATTGAAAATAGCAAATATAAAAACGGTGCTTTCTGAGTGAGTAGGAGAAATGCTTTCAAAGATAAGTCATCGTTAAGTGCTACTCTGAAGCAGGAGGAATTGGGACTTCTTCACTACAGAATGAATAGCATCAAACTAAAAGCTTTCATTGAGCAAGTTCCAACTCCTATTGGTTTCAAAGCACCCACTTAAAAACTGTCTTTCAAGAAATGGAGGGAAAGCGAATAAAGATCCATATAAAACTTGTTTTTTTTTTGCAAGTGAACGAGTGAGTGAAAGGGGAGGGAGAGAGAAGGGGATTCACAGGGGACTAGCTTTAAACTACTCTGAAGATATCTGTTCATCTGTGAGCAGTAGAAATCAATACCTGTATGAAGAGATAGGAGGAGGTCCTGCTGAAGCATTAGTGTGTGTGTGTGTGTGTGTGTGTGTGTGTGTGTGTGTGTGTGTGTGTGTGTCTGTCGGGGGGGGGGGGGGAATCGCTCTGCTCTGCTCTGCTCTGTGCAGAACATCATTGATTTCAGATTAGCTGTAATTCTGTTAACGTATGCAAGACACATTTTCCTCATCTATTATATACGCCAACTGTTGCCTCTTGAAGTAATGTATAGGAGTTCTATTAGAACAGTATTATACAGGCCAAACACAAGCCTCAGTTTATTGTCCATGTATGTTTATGCAGAGCATTTATTTCCGATTAGCTGCAATTATGTTGCAATTATATTCAAGTCCTATTCTCCTTTTCTACTCCATTAATGAAGTACACAGGCAAAACACACACACCTGTTATGATTGACTGACCCATACATACCTCTTTATTGACCTGTTATGATTGACTGACCCATACGTACCTCTTTAATGACCTGTTATGATTGACTGACCCATACGTACCTCTTTAAGGACCTGTTATGATTGACTGACCCATACGTACCTCTTTAATGACCTGTTATGATTGACTGACCCATACGTACCTCTTTAATGACCTGTTATGATTGACTGACCCATACGTACCTCTTTATTGACCTGTTATGATTGACTGACCCATACGTACCTCTTTAATGACCTGTTATGATTGACTGACCCATACGTACCTCTTTATTGACCTGTTATTATTGACTGACCCATACGTACCTCTTTATTGCCCTTCATGAACAGCATGACTGGACTCCTGTTGATGGTCGACTTCAACCTGTAGGTTATAAAAGACAGTCCATAAGTCGCACAATACAACGTGGCATCTTCCACGTGTGTGTGTGTGTGTGTGTGTGTGTTTGGTTGTGTGTGTGTGTGTGTGTGTGTGTGTGGTTGTGTGGTTGTGTGTGTGTGTGTGTGTGTGTGTGTGTGTGTGTGTGTGTGTGTGTAAAGGTGAGTTTTACCTGTGCTCCAGTGTAACAGCCTTGGGACAGGTGTTCTCCAGCTCTCCAGACTCAGCTAGTTCCTACAACAGGTATCAACACTCAGATGGGTCACTGGACTGGCCCTTTGTTCTACTGTACCTATACACTAAACACACATACCTACAGTCTCAATCCCACTAAACACACATACCTACAGTCTCAATCCCACTAAACACACATACCTACAGTCTCAATCCCACTAAACACACATACCTACAGTCTCAATCCCACTAAACACACATACCTACAGTCTCAATCCCACTAAACACACATACCTACAGTCTCAATCCCACTAACACACATAGAGTGGGGAGAACAAGTATTTGATACACTGCCGATTCTACAGGTTTTCCTAATTACAAAGCATGTAGAGGTCTGTAATTTTTATCATAGGTACACTTCAACTGTGAGTGACGGAATCTAAAACAAAAATCCAGAAAATCACATTGTATGATTTTTAAGTAATTAATTTGCATTTTATTGCATGACATAAGTATTTGATACATCAGAAAAGCAGAACTTAATATTTTGTACAGAAACCTTTGTTTGCAATTACAGAGATCATACGTTTCCTGTAGGTCTTGACCAGGTTTGCACACACTGCAGCAGGGATTTTGGCCCACTCCTCCATACAGACCTTCTCCAGATCCTTCAGGTTTCAAGGCTGTCGCTGGGCAATACGGACTTTCAGCTCCCTCCAAAGATTTTCTATTAGGTTCAGGTCTGGAGACTGGCTAGGCCACTCCAGGACCTTGAGATGCTTCTTACGGAGCCACTCCTTAGTTGCCCTGGCTGTGTGTTTCGGGTCGTTATCATGCTGGAAGACCCAGCCACGACCCATCTTCAATGCTCTTACTGAGGGAAGGAGGTTGTTGGCCAAGATCTCGCGATACATGGCCCCATCCATCCTCCCCTCAATACGGTGCAGTCGTCCTGTCCCCTTTGCAGAAAAGCATCCCCAAAGAATGATGTTTCCACCTCCATGCTTCACGGTTGGGATGGTGTTCTTGGGGTTGTACTCATCCTTCTTCTTCCTCCAAACACGGCGAGTGGAGTTTAGACCAAAAAGCTCTATTTTTGTCTCATCAGACCACATGACCTTCTCCCATTCCTCCTCTGGATCATCCAGATGGTCATTGGCAAACTTCAGACGGGCCTGGACATGCGCTGGCTTGAGCAAGGGGACCTTGCGTGCGCTGCAGAATTTTAATCCATGACGGCGTAGTGTGTTACTAATGGTTTTCTTTGAGACTGTGGTCCCAGCTCTCTTCAGGTCATTGACCAGGTCCTGCCGTGTAGTTCTGGGCTGATCCCTCACCTTCCTCATGATCATTGATGCCCCACGAGGTGAGATCTTGCATGGAGCCACAGACCGAGGGTGATTGACCGTCATCTTGAACTTCCATTTTCTAATAATTGCGCCAACAGTTGTTGCCTTCTCACCAAGCTGCTTGCCTATTGTCCTGTAGCCCATCCCAGCCTTGTGCAGGTCTACAATTTTATCCCTGATGTCCTTACACCACTCTCTGGTCTTGGCCATTGTGGAGAGGTTGGAGTCTGTTTGATTGAGTGTGTGGACAGGTGTCTTTTATACAGGTAACGAGTTCAAACAGGTGCAGTTAATACAGGTAATGAGTGGAGAACAGGAGGGCTTCTTAAAGAAAAACTAACATGTCTGTGAGAGCCGGAATTCTTACTGGTTGGTAGGTGATCAAATACTTATGTCATGCAATAAAATGCAAATTAATTACTTAAAAATCATACAAATGTGATTTATTGGATTTTTGTTTTAGATTCCATCTCTCACAGTTGAAGTGTACCTATGATAAAAAGTCCAGACCTCTACATGCTTTGTAAGTAGGAAAACCTGCAAAATCGGCAGTGTATCAAATACCTGTTCTCCCCACTGTACCTACAGTCCCATTCCCACTTCCCCCTTCTCTTGATCTATCCATCTCTTCCTCAAACGCGCACACACACACACACAGTCACACACACACACACACACACACACACACACACCGCCACACGAGAAGGAAACTCAGGCCCCAGTCGGCCTGGTCCCACACACAGCAGGTCTACTTGCTCCACTATCCAGGTGTACTGTCTGCTTAATGAGGGAGGGGCAGTAGAGAGCAGCTGTGTTTGAATACTCATACTAACAACACTATCTGTACTATTTGTGAGTATGTAGTATGCTTATTGGTCATAGTATGGATATAATTAGTATGCCAAAAGATCCCGGATGTCGTACTACATTCGCCAAAATAAAAAGTATACAAGCAGTGGACACTATTTCCGTGCTTTTAGGGCCCATAATGCAATTCTTCAGAAAATGGGAGTGGCTTAACAACATTTTCAGATTTGACCGGATACAAATGTAAGTCTAAAAAGTCAATAATCATTGATTTAACTGATTAAGACCAATGTTAAGAACATGTTGAGCAATGTAATAAAGTAATGACTTTTCAAAATAAGTTACGTTATATGTTGGCTGACAATGTGTTAGCTACGCTACTAGCCTTACGAACCGCATAGCATATCATTACAGCAGTATGTAGCGGTATGTTAGCTAGCTACCTGACGTTAGTTGGCTACTGATACATGGAACCTGCCAGTATATTAACTATACATAGTTGTGGTATGTCTGTCTCGAGCCACAGACAGTGCATCGCGTGCCGTGTTGAGCCATAGAGGGTTTAAATGGACACAAACAATGACACATCGAACACATATGGAGGACAACATTTATTTGACTTGATTATTCCCCTCATTCTTAGCTTAGCTGACTGGTATAGTCGTTGTGCGTTCTCAAAAGGACATCGTTAATGATGTCGTAAGATGTCTAGCTGGTCATTTGTTACGCTAACAAGAAGTTGCAAAGCAACAGCATCAACTTTCGGTAGACAGGCGAAGCATTAGAACACTCAACTGAAAAGATACCGTTCGTTTACAGTATACTAAGATGAACTAATAGTATATAGTATGTAGTATATACTCATTAAGTATGCAGTAGGTTAGTATGGATATTGGAACACAGCTAGCGTCTCAGGCCCCAGTCAGCCGGGGTAGGAACACAGCTAGCGTCTCAGGCCCCAGTCAGCCAGGGTAGGAAGAGAAAAAGAGCTGCTACAGTGGGGGAAAAAAGTATTTAGTCAGCCACCAATTGTGCAAGTTCTCCCACTTAAAAAGATGAGAGAGGCCTGTAATTTTCATCATAGGTATACGTCAACTATGACAGACAAAATGAGAAAAAAAAATCCAGAAAATCACATTGTAGGATTTTTAATGAATTTATTTGCAAATTATGGTGGAAAATAAGTATTTGGTCAATAACAAAAATTTCTCAATACTTTGTTATATACCCTTTGTTGGCAATGACACAGGTCAAACGTTTTCTGTAAGTCTTCACAAGGTTTTCACACACTGTTGCTGGTATTTTGGCCCATTCCTCCATGCAGATCTCCTCTAGAGCAGTGATGTTTTGGGGCTGTCGCTGGGCAACATGGACTTTCAACTCCCTCCAAAGATTTTCTATGGGGTTGAGATCTGGAGACTGGCTAGGCCACTCCAGGACCTTGAAATGCTTCTTACGAAGCCACTCCTTCGTTGCCCGGGCGGTGTGTTTGGGATCATTGTCATGCTGAAAGACCCAGCCACGTTTCATCTTCAATGCCCTTGCTGATGGAAGGAGGTTTTCACTCAAAATTTCACGATACATTGTCCCATTCATTCTTTCCTTTACACGGATCAGTCGTCCTGGTCCCTTTGCAGAAAAACTGCCCCAAAGCATGATGTTTCCACCCCCATGCTTCACAGTAGGTATGGTGTTCTTTGGATGCAACTCAGCATTCTTTGTCCTCCAAACACGACGAGTTGAGTTTTTACCAAAAAGTTATATTTTGGTTTCATCTGACCATATGACATTCTCCCAATCCTCTTCTGGATCATCCAAATGCACTCTAGCAAACTTCAGACGGGCCTGGACATGTACTGGCTTAAGCAGGGGGACACGTCTTGCACTGCAGGATTTGAGTCCCTGGCGGCGTAGTGTGTTACTGATGGTAGGCTTTGTTACTTTGGTCCCAGCTCTCTGCAGGTCATTCACTAGGCCCCCCCGTGTGGTTCTGGGATTTTTGCTCACCGTTCTTGTGATCATTTTGACCCCACGGGGTGAGATCTTGCGTGGAGCCCCAGATCGAGGGAGATTATCAGTGGTCTTGTATGTCTTCCATTTCCTAATAATTGCTCCCACAGTTGATTTCTTCAAACCAAGCTGCTTACCTATTGCAGATTCAGTCTTCCCAGCCTGGTGCAGGTCTACAATTTTGTTTCTGGTGTCCTTTGACAGCTCTTTGGTCTTGGCCATAGTGGAGTTTGGAGTGTGACAGTTTGAGGTTGTGGACAGGTGTCTTTTATACTGATAACAAGTTCAAACAGGTGCCATTAATACAGGTAACGAGTGGAGGACAGAGGAGCCTCTTAAAGAAGAAGTTACAGGTCTGTGAGAGCCAGAAATCTTGCTTGTTTGTAGGTGACCAAATACTTATTTTCCATCATAATTTGCAAATAAAATCATAAAAAATCATACAATGTGATTTTCTGGATTTTTTTCCTCAATTTGTCTGTCATAGTTGATGTGTACCTATGATGAAAATTACAGGCCTCTCTCACCTTTTTAAGTGGGAGAACTTGCACAATTGGTGGCTGACTAAATACTTTTTTTCCCCACTGTATCTAATCCCTCACTCCCTCCCTCCCTCCCTCCCTCCCTCCCTCGGAGGGGAGGGAAGCTCCTAGCTAAAGTAATCCAGCCCTCCTACCCCAGCAGGTGCTCTCTCATGTGTTAAAGCTGAATTACCTCAGTGGGAATGTACAGCTATGGAGGAGGGACACACAGAACGCTAAACACAGCACCTAGGAGAAAGCATGCCATGCAGTAGGGAGAAACCAAACCACCCACTAATATTCTGTAAAACATCTATGTTGCAATAAAAAATGTGTTACTGTTCACATTGAAATATAATTACTAGAAGGAACAAAGCCCCTCAGACCATGTCAATTAAACTGGACCACTCATGGATACACTCAATATGGCTGCTGGTCCACCCATCGCAGAACATTGACTTGAATGAGAATGTTCGTTCTTGCAATTATATTTCTATGACTTTGCATACCCTGCCCCCCCATGCCTCCTTAACCTCACCCAAAACCTACAGGAGGGTAGCTCTCCAGGAACAGAGTTGTGTTTAAAGCTTCAGTCGGTAATTATTTTAGTAAGACCATACTTATGTAATTAATTGCATAACGGACGCCTCACACAAAAAAATAAAAAATAAATACAATAAAATAAAAAATTATTTGAAAAACAAAGCGATTATTTGATTCACGTGAATTGATTATTTTAACCTCTTGACTATTAGGGCTAAATAGACCCATAAACAATAACTGGTACTGTTGCATCGTTTTAGAAAGGTCTGGAACTTTCTGGTAGAAATAGTTATACATTGCTGAGATGTACTCACTTTTTAGGACACAAGCTCAAGTACATAGTACAAATATTATGAAAAATCATAGGATTTTGTTCCTTATTCAACAAAAGTGGGGCAATAGGGCATGAAATGACTGAAATGCTTTCCAAATATACTAACAATCAAATTATAAAACCACTTACTATAAGACTTCCCCTTCCTTATACAGTGAGGGGAAAAAAGTATTTGATCCCCTGCTGATTTTGTACGTTTGCCCACTGACAAAGAAATTATCAGTCTATCATTTTAATGGTAGGTTTATTTGAACAGTGAGAGACAGAATAACAACAAAAAAATCCAGAAAAACACATGTAAAAAATGTTATGAATTGATTTGCATTTTAATTAGGGAAATAAGTATTTGACCCCTCTGCAAAACATGACTTAGTACTTGGTGGCAAAACCCTTGTTGGCAATCACAGAGGTCAGACGTTTCTTGTAGTTGGCCACCAGGTTTGCCCACATCTCAGGAGGGATTTTGTTCCACTCCTCTTTGCAGATCTTTTCCAAGTCATTAAGGTTTCGAGGCTGACGTTTGGCAACTCGACCCTTCAGCTCCCTCCACAGATTTTCTATGGGATTAAGGTCTGGAGACTGGCTAGGCCACTCCAGGACCTTAATGTGCTTCTTCTTGAGCCACTCCTTTGTTGCCTTGGCCGTGTGTTTTGGGTCATTGTCATGCTGGATTACCCATCCACAACCCATTTTCAATGCCCTGGCTGAGGGAAGGAGGTTCTCACCCTAGATTTGATGGTACATGGCCCCGTCCATCGTCCCTTTGATGCGGGGAAGTTGTCCTGTCCCCTTAGCAGAAAAACAACCCCAAAGCATAATGTTTCCACCTCCATGTTTGACGGTGGGGATGGTGTTCTTGGGGTCATAGGCAGCATTCCTCCTCCTCCAAACACGGCGAGTTGAGTTGATGCCAAAGAGCTAAATTTTGGTCTCATCTGACCACAACACTTTCACCCAGTTCTCCTCTGAATCATTCAGATGTTCATTGGCAAACTTCAGACGGGCATGTATATATGCTTTCTTGAGCAGGGGGACCTTGCGGGCGCTAAGGATTTCAGTCCTTCATGGCGTAGTCTGTTACCAATTGTTTTCTTGGTGACTATGGTCCCAGCTGCCTTGAGATCATTGACAAGATCCTCCCGTGTAGTTCTGGGCTGATTCCTCACCGTTCTCATGATCATTGCAACTCCACGAGGTGAGATATTGCATGGAGCCCCAGGCCGAGGGAGATTGACAGTTATTTTGTGTTTCTTCCATTTGTGAATAATCGCACCAACTGTTGTCACCTTCTCACCAAGCTGCTTGGTGATGGTCTTGTAGCCCATTCCAGCCTTGTGTAGGTCTACAATCTTGTCCCTGACATCCTTGGAGAGCTCTTTGGTCTTGGCCATGGTGGAGAGTTTGGAATCTGATTGATTGATTGCTTCTGTGGACAGGTGTCTTTTATACAGGTAACAAACTGAGATTATGAGCACTCCCTTTAAGAGTGTGCTCCTAATCTCAGCTCGTTACCTGTATAAAAGACACCTGGGAGCCAGAAATCTTTCTGATTGAGAGGGGGTCAAATACTTATTTCCCTCATTAAAATGCAAATCAATTTATAAAACATTTTGACATGTGTTTTTCTGGATTTTTTTGTTGTTATTCTGTCTCTCACTGTTCAAATAAACCTACCATTAAAATGATAGACTGATCATGTCTTTGTCAGTGGGCAAACGTACAAAATCAGCAGGGGATCCAATACTTTTTTCCCTCACTGTAACTGTAGTATAAATGTGATCATACTTAGTGACAGTACAATATTGGCACCATTTCATATAAACTGACGACCGAGACTTTCTGCCAAACGTCCTCTGAGTGACGCAGAGACACTATTCAAATGTCTCCATATTCATTACAACTTCAGCTCGCTACAAGTGGTTTTGTCCGTCTGTGACCAAGAATAAGCGGTCTTTCAATTCTACAAAACGGTTTTGCACATTTTTCCTGTGGAGCGCTCTAAATCCATCTGAAAACATCACAGTGAGATGAAACCGTTATTGTTGCCTCCGCTGGAGTCTCCTGTTTCATTCATTGCACTATTGCAAGCACAGCTACGAGGTTCACAGGTACAGGAAATCCTTCCTTTGTCTGGATAGGCCAGAAAATGTGACATGTCGCTCCCCATGCAAATGGAAGATTTCCTGTGTCTGTGAACCTCACAGCTGCGCTTGTAATAGCGCATGTGAAATCGGGACAACCAGTGCTTTTAGTGAGTGTAAAGCAATTGATGTTGCGCTGTTCACAGAGCACGCTGTACACAGAAATATCGGTCGGAACCAGTCCAGAACTGCTCAGACCCCAAAATATTTTTTTTTATTTTCCTTTTACAAATCGAATGATTCGCTTCGCCATTGTAGTAGTTGGGATTCGGTTTGATCGCGGTGAATCAAATCCTGGGAATTTAAATAATAATTTCTAAGTCGCGAACAGTAATAGGAAAACATTTTAGTAACCTTCCTTATGTTGCTGTAAAACTTGTTTTGTAGATACTTTTAGGTTGATTTGGGCATTTATTTTATGAGACACTGCAACATAATAGCTGCTAGTCAGCCTGCAGTGAACACATCTAAGGTAAGAAAAACATGACTCAACTAGAATAGTACATTTCCTGAAGACAATGTGTGTGCTCGCTTCAGCTGTCTAAAAACATTTGCCTGGTAGTGGGAGATGTGTTAAGTGTAGAATTCAAGCTGAATAGAAGCTGAAGCAGTTAAATATAGTAACAATAGGTGTGATTACTTTAATAGAATACTATACATTTCAGGTCGCACATCAATTATTAAAAAAAATGACAGAACTATGCCTCTAACTTGGCTGGGGCATGCTTTTCAATGGTCCTATCCAACTCCTGACACCAATGTAGTTAATTAGGAAGGTATCCTGACCAGGACTCAAACCCTGGTCCCTGTCATTCCAAAACCATTATACCAAAAGGCTAAACATCTCTTGGTGAGGTCTCTAGGTGTTGTACCAAGGTTGTTTAGTATTTTTTACAAGGGTTCAACTTTTCATTTTTTTTGCCTCACTTTTCTGGAGAGAAAAAAAAAATGGTATGGCTAAATGTGTATTGAACATTACTCACCTTGACAATGTCCAGTCCCCCTACGAGTTCTCCATTAACGTAAACCTGAGGGTAGGTGGGCCAATTGGAGAAGGTCTTCAGCCCCCATCTCACTTCCTCATCTGACAGGATGTCAAAGCTGCTGTACTGGATAGCATGGTCCTTGAACAGCGCCACTATCTGACGGCTGAAGCCTGGTGGACGGGGAGAAAACAAGAGTCTGTTTGTAACATGGTACAAGACAGGTACACAGCTGTTGTACTGGGTCCTTTAATAGAACTACACTCTGACGGCTGAAACCCAGAGGGGAAAATCAAGGGGTTGTTAGTTAAATGTTATTGTATGTTCATAGGAACAACAGAGTCAGGATATTAAATCAGGACCTAATTGCAGATCAGTTTGGTCAGCAGCATGTTTGTTACCCTCATATTATAGAAACAAAATGAACAAGACAGCGGAGTCACTGACCACCTTCCGGAGACACTTGAAACCCTACCTCTTTAAGGAATACCTGGAATAGTATAAAGTAATCCTTCTACCCACCCCTACCCCCCCGAAGAAAAAGTGGTTGTCCCACTGGCTATCATAAGTTGAATGTACCAATTTGTAAGTCACTCTGGATAAGAGTGTCTGCTAAATGATGTAAATGTAAATGTAATGAATTAAAAGGTCAAATAAAGATGGTCCCAGACCCTAGTCTGGTATCATGACATTCATTTGATGTAATAAGTGTAACACTGATAAAATAAAAACTAATACACAGTGCATTCGGAAAGTATTAAGGATCCCTTGACCGTTTCCACGTTGTTACGTTACAGCCTTATTCTAAAACTGATCTTGAAAAATTCTCATCAATCTACACACAATACCCCATAATGTCAAACCGAAAACAGTTTTTTAGAATAAGCAAATTTATTAAAAAAAAATACAAATACATTATTTACATAAGTATTCAGACCCTTTGCTATGAGACTCGAAATTGAGCTCAGGTGCATCCTGCTTGCATTGATCATCCTTGAGATGTTTCTACAACTTGATTGGAGTCCACCTGTGGTAAATTCAATTGATTGGACATGATTTGGAAAGGCACACACCTGTCTATAGAAGGTACCACAGTAGACAGTGCATGTCAGAGCAAAAACCAAGCCATGAGGTCGAAGGAATTGTCAGTAGAGCTCCAAGACAGGATCGTGTCGAGGCACGGAAAATGTCTGCAGCATTCAAGGTCCCAAAGAACACAGTGGCCTCCATCATTCTTAAATGGAAGAAGTTTGGAACCACCAAGACTCTTCCTAGAGCTGCCGGCCCGGCCAAACTGAGCAGTCGGAGGAGAAGGGCCTTGGTCATGGAGGGGACCAAGAACCCAATGGTCACTCTGACAGGGCTCCAGACTTCCTCTGTGGAGATGGGAGAACCTTCCAGAAGGACAACCATCTCTGCAGCACTCCACCAATCAGGCCTTTATGGTAGACTGGCCAGACAGAAGCCACTCCTCAGTAAAAGGCACATGACAGCCCGCTTGGAGTTTGCCAAAAGGCACCTAAAGGACTCAGACCATGAGAAACAGGATTCTCTGGTCTGATGAAACTGATTGAACTGTTTGGCCTGAATGCCAAGCGTCACGTCTGGAGGAAACCTGGCACCATCCCTACGGTGAAGCATGGTGGTGGCAGCGTCATGCTGTGGGGATGTTTTTCAGCGGCAGGGACTGGGAGACTAGTCAGGATCGAGGGAAAGATGAATGGAGCAAAGTACAGAGAGATCCATTGATGAAAACCTACTCCAGAGCGCTCAGGACCTCAGACTGGGGTGAAGGTTCACCTTCCAATAGGACAAATACCCTAAGCACATAGCCAAGACAATGCAGGAGTGGCTTCGGGACAAGTCTCTGAATGTCCTTGAGTGGCCCAGCCAGAGCCCGGACTTGAACCCGACCGAACATCTCTAGAAGAGACCTGAAAATAGCTGTGCAACAATGCTCCCCATCCAACCTGACAGAGCTTGAGAGGATCTGCAGAAAATGGGAGATACTCCCCAAATACAGGTGTGCCAAGCTTGTAGCGTCATACCCAAGAAGACATGAGGCTGTAATCGCTGCCAAAGGTGCTTCAACATAGTACTGAGTAAAGGGTCTGAATACTTATGTAAATGTGACATCATTTGTTTTGTCATTATGGGGTATTGTGTGTAGATTGATGAAGAAATGTTTTTATTTAACCCATTTTAGAATAAGGCTGTAACGTAACAAAATGTGGAAAAAGTCAAGGGGTCTGAATACTTTCCGAATGCTCTGAGCTATTGTAATAGCTATTTTCTTTGTTAACACTGACATGGGTCCACTTTGGCAAGGACAGGCTCACTGTTTAAATATGTGAGGTATGTGTTATGTCCTTGATACATGGGTCAGTGTGTGAGAAGAGACTGTGACAGAGGGAATAGAGAGAAAGAAATGAGAGAGAGGGGGAGGGAGAGAGAGCAAGAGAGAAAGAAAAAGAGAGAAAGAGAAGAGAAAGAGAGAGAGAGAGCGAGAGAGAGAGAGAAAGAGGGAGAGAGAGAGAGAGAGAGAGAAAGAGAGAGCGAGAGCGAGAGAAAATGAGAAAAGAAACAGAAAGAGAAAACCAGAGAGAAAAGAGCGAACACGAGACAGAGGGGAGGGTGATATGCTGCCTGCATGTAGAGCCTGCAGTGAAACTCTCATTCTGATACTTCATTCATTCATGGGGGAATTCATTATAAAAACAGCTAGAGGCCCCCAACTAATGGTTATTCAGCTGCATGCCACTATATTAACTTGTTTCTACTACGCCAGGCCCAGCTGCTTTCTCTGGCTAGAGGCTCTCTCTCCCAGACCCAGACACGCACGATTGATTGGTGAGAGGTTGTTCTCCCTCTCTCCAGTTCCTAAAGGGTCAGGGGGGATCGCGCTCCGCAGACAGACGATACAGCTCCAGGATAAAGGAACATACAAAGCTGATTTCTTATTTCAAGGAAAGTTTGGTTATTATGCACACACACACACACACACACACACACACACACACACACACAGAGAGAGCGTGTAATGTGTTTTACATGGTGTAAGAGCGTGTAACCTTTAAATTCAGGTTTAGAGGGCTTCTTTAAAAAACCTAGAGGTCCTACTCACAGCCTCACACGGCTTGGTGGGGGTTAGATTAAACAAGAGTTCAGAAACACTACGACTTGGGTTCTTTAAAGATAATAACATTTAGAGATAGATTTCAGGATGAGGTGAAAAGTAACACTTATGGGACTAGATTTTAAAAACTAAAATGTAATGTTAGGTGTTTGGCAAACTGCCTTGACCCTAACCCTAATAATTACACTCAGCGGCGTGGTTGGGAGTGGGACCTCAACCCTGTCCAGTGTAATGGCCTCCCCAGGTAGTGGTTGGGAGTGGGACCTCAACCCTGTCCAGTGTAATGGCCTCCCCAGGTAGTGGTTGGGAGTGGGACCTCAACCCTGTCCAGTGTAATGGCCTCCCCAGGTAGTGGTTGGGAGTGGGACCTCAACCCTGTACAGTGTAATGGCCTCCCCAGGTAGTGGTTGGGAGTGGGACCTCAACCCTGTACAGTGTAATGGCCTCCCCAGGTAGTGGTTGGGAGTGGGACCTCAACCCTGTACAGTGTAATGGCCTCCCCAGGTAGTGGTTGGGAGTGGGACCTCAACCCTGTCCAGTGTAATGGCCTCCCCAGGTAGTGGTTAGGAGTGGGACCTCAACCCTGTCCAGTGTAATGGCCTCCCCAGGTAGTGGTTGGGAGTGGGACCTCAACCCTGTCCAGTGTAATGGCCTCCCCAGGTAGTGGTTGGGAGTGGGACCTCAACCCTGTCCAGTGTAATGGCCTCCCCAGGTAGTGGTTGGGAGTGGGACCTCAACCCTGTCCAGTGTAATGGCCTCCCCAGGTAGTGGTTGGGAGTGGGACCTCAACCCTGTACAGTGTAATGGCCTCCCCAGGTAGAGATTGTTGGCACTCTTGGATAGAAGTGCTGTTAGGTTCTCCCAGGCAGATTAGTGTCCTGCTGTGGCGGGGCTGGATCCACACCCAACACTTCACTATTCACTACCTACCACCACCATGCCTGCCTTCTCTCCTCCACCATGCCTGCCTCCTCTCCTCCTCCATGCCTGCCTCCTCTCCTCCTCCATGCCTGCCTCCTCTCCTCCTCCATGCCTGCCTCCTCTCCTCCTCCATGCCTGCCTCCTCTCCTCCTCCATGCCTGCCTCCTCTCCTCCTCCATGCCTGCCTCCTCTCCTCCTCCATGCCTGCCTTCTCTCCTCCACCATGCCTGCCTCCTCTCCTCCACCATGCCTGCCTCCTCTCCTCCACCATGCCTGCCTTCTCTCCTCCACCATGCCTGCCTCCTCCATGCCTGCCTTCTCTCCTCCACTATGCCTTCCTCCTCTCCTCCTCCATGCCTGCCTCCTCTCCTCCACCATGCCTGCCTCCTCTCCTCCACCATGCCTGCCTTCTCTCCTCCACCATACCTGCCTCCTCTCCTCCACCATGCCTGCCTCCTCCATGCCTGCCTCCTCTCCTCCACCATGCCTGCCTCCTCCATGCCTGCCTCCTCTCCTCCACCATGCCTGCCTCCTCCATGCCTGCCTCCTCTCCTCCACCATGCCTGCCTCCTCTCCTCCTCCATGCCTGCCTCTCCATCGCTCTCTTTTCCTTCTCACGCCAACACATGCAGGCAGACACGTACACACACACACTCTCATTACCGCAGCGAGGTTCCTGTGGGGATCCCTTCATGAAGAGCATGCAGGGTGCTGCATTGATCAGTCTCTTCAGACGCTCATTAAGGTCCTCTTTGGGGGGCTCCACCCCTGGCCCGCCCAGCCCCCCCGAGCTGACCGACAGCCTCTGGACCTTATTGGTCAGCTCTGGGGCATGAGCTCCGTCCAGCCTGTCAATCTTCTGGCCACCCTGAGACCCACCAGAGGACAATGGGGGGGAAAGAAAAACAACATTCATATTTTAGCGCTTTTTGTTTGTATTGTTCTAGAGGAGGAGGGTTTTGAGAGAGAGAGAGAGAGAGAGAGCTCAGTTGAATGTTTGACATGTTAAATCAACAGTGAAGGCCTGACAGAAGGCCTGATGGGACTGTGGAGAAGCTGTAACCTAGGCTTTATTTTCCCATTGATCCTGATATCCAGTGTGTTACCTCTCCTAACAGACAAGTATTTACCAGCAGCCTCTATGGCTGAAAACTCCCATCTCGGAGTGTCAAGATTAGATTCCGCTAGGAATCGACTCATAAGATTCAGCATTTTTGGAATGGAGGAGTCTGATTAGTTTGTCGTACTTCCGAGAACACAAACACAAGCATCTTTCATAGCGAGCTAGTGAGGGACGGAGAGAGAGGGCAGAGTCAGAACTGTGCACTAGGCCTATCTATCGACAATCAAAAGCTGTGGCTTGCAATGGAATCTCACAATTTCTTGGCTTGCAATGTCTTGCAACTTCCGTAAAGCAGGGCATGTCATCAAGGAATAGATATTAAGATGAGTGAAATGAAACACTCAGTCACACACAGTATCTGCACATGTGCAAGGGTTCGCAGCGTGGTTGCCAGGGCACCAAAACAGCCGTGAAGTTGAGCCTCGAGCTTCAACGCTCTTAGTTGCGGAAATTGACCTACTATGCGATTTACTGCATCTACGTAAAAATAAAAATATAAAATTAATTTTTTTTACGTTACAGCTTATTCAGTCTACACAAAATACCCCAAAATGACAAAGTAAAAACTGTTTTTTAGAAATGTTTGCAAATGTATTAAAAATAAAAAACGGAAATATTGCATTTACATAAGCATTCAGACCCTTTACTCAGTACTTTGTTGAAGCACCTTTGGCAGCGATTACAGCCTAGAATCTTCTTGGGTATGACGTTACATGCTTGGCACACCTGTATTTGGGGAGTTTCTCCCATTCTTCTCTGCAGATCCTCTCAAGCTCTGTCAGGTTGGATGGGGAGTGTTAGATCGGGTTCAAGTCCAGGCTCTGGCTGGGCCACTCAAGGAAATTCAGAGACTTGTACCGAAGTGACTCCTGCGTTGTCTTAGCTGTGTGCTTAATGTTGTTGTGCTGTTGGAAGGTGAACCTTCACCCCAGTCTGAGGTCCTGAGCGCTCTGGAGCAGTTTTTCATCAAGGATCTCATTGTACTTTGCTCCGTTAATCTTTCCCTCGATCCTGACTAGTCCCCCAGTCCCTGCCGCTGAAAAACATCCCCACAGCATGATGCTGCCACCACCATGCTTCACCGTAGGGATGGTGCCAGGTTTCCTCCAGACGTGACGCTTGGTATTCAGAAGCGATGTCAGCGTGACCGTCAGGTTCTTGGTCACCTCCCTGACCAAGGCCCTTCTCACCCGATTGCTCAGTTTGGCCAGGCGGCCAGCTATAGGAAGAGTCTTGGTGGTTCCAAACTTCTTCCATTTAAGAAAGATTGATGACACTGTGTTCTTGGGGACCTTCAATGCTGCATACATTTCTTGGTACCCTTCCCCAGATCTGTGCCTCGACACAACCCTGTCTCTGAGCTCTACGGACAATTCCTTCGACTTCATGGCTTGGTTTTTGCTCTGACATGCACTGTCAACTGTGGGACCTTATATATACAGGTGTGTGCCTTTCCAAATGTTGTCCAATCAATTGAATTTACCACAGGTGGACTCCAATCAAGTTGTAGAAACATCTCAAGGATCATCAATGGAAACAAGATTCACCTGAGCTCAATTGAGTCTCATAGCAAAGGGTCTGAATACTTATGTAAATAAGGTAAACTACTGTTCAAAAGTTTGTTGTCACTTAGAAATGTCCTTGTTTTCCATGAAAACATACATGAAATGAGTTTGAATAGGAAATATAGCAAAATGCATAGGAAATGTAGTCATTGACAAGGTTAGAAATAATGATTTTTAATTGAAATAATAATTGTGTCCTTCACAATCTTCCATTTGCAGCAATTACAGCCTTGCAGACCTTTGGCATTCTAGTTGTCAATTTGTTGAGGTAATCTGAAGAGACTTCACCCCATGCTTCCTGAAGCACCTCCCACAAGTTGGATTGGCTTGATGGGCACTTCTTACGTACCATACGGTCAAGCTGCTCCCACAACAGCTCAATAGGGTTGAGATCCGGTGACTGTGCTGGCCACTCCATTATAGACAGAATACCAGCTGACTGCTTCTTCCCTAAATAGTTATTGCATAGTTTGGAGCTGTGCTTTGGGTCATTGTCCTGTTGTAGGAGGAAATTGGCTCCAATCAAGCGCCGTCCACAGGGTATGGCATGGCATTGCAAAATGGAGTGATAGCCTTCCTTCTTCAAGACCCCTTTTACCTTGTACAAATCTCCCACTTCACCACCACCAAAGCACCCCCAGACCATCACATTGCCTCCACCATGCTTGACAGATGGCATCAAGCACTCCTCCAGCATCTTTTCATTTGGTCTTCTTCTTTGTGATCCGAACACCTCAAACTTCGATTCGTCTGTCCAGTGTCTGTTCTTTTGCCCATCTTTTCTTTTTATTGGTCAGTCTGAGATATGGCTTTTTCTTTGCAACTCTGCCTAGAAGGTCAGCATCCCGGAGTCGCCTCTTCACTGTTGACGTTGAGACTGGTGTTTTGCGGGTACTATTAAATGAAGCTGCCAGTTGAGGACCTGTGAGGAGTCTGTTTCTCAAACTAGACACTAATGTATTTGTCCTCTTGCTCAGTTGTGTACCGGGGCCTCCCACTCCTCTTTCTATTCTGGTTAGAGCCAGTTTGCGCTGTTCTGTGAAGGGAGTAGTACACAGCGTTAAACGAGATCTTCAGTTTCTTGGCAATCTCTCGCATGGAATAGCCTTCATTTCTCAGAACAAGAATAGATTGACGAGTTTCAGAAGAAAGATATTTGTTTCTGGCTATTTTGATCCTGTAATCGAACCCACAATTGCTGATGCTCCAGATACTCAACTAGTCTCAAGAAGGCCTGTTTTATTGCTTCTTTAATCAGCACAACAGTTTTCAGCTGTGCTAACAAAATTGCAAAAGGGTTTTCTAACGATCAATTAGCCTTTTAAAATGATAAACTTGGATTAGCAAACACACCGTTCCATTGGAACACAGGACTGATGGTTGCTGATAATGGGCCTCTGTACGCCTATGTAGATATTCCACTACAAATCAGCCGTTTCCAGCTACAATAGCCATTTACAACATTAACAATGTCTACACTGTATTTCTGATATATTATATGTTATTTTAATGGACAGAAATATATATTTTATTTCGAAAACAAGGACATTTCTAAGTGACCCCAAACTTTTGAAAGGTAGCGTGTTCTTTATTTACTAACATTTCTAAACACCTGTATTTGCTTTGTCATTAAATTGTATTGTGAGTGGATTGATGAGGAAATCCATTCTAGAATAAGGCTGTAATGTAACAAAATGTGGAAAAGCAAGGGGTCTGAATACTTTCCGAATGCACTGTATAGGCCTACAGCATTGGTCGATGTGGTTGAGGTCAGGGTTCTGTGCAGGCCAGTCAAGTTCTTCCACACCGATCTCGTCAAACCATTTATGTATGGACCTCGCTTTGTGCACATGGGCATTATCATGCTGAAACAGTAAAGGGCCTACCCCAAACTGTTGCCACAAAGTTGGAAGCACTGAATCGTCTAGAACGTAATTGTATGCTGTAGCATTAAAAAGTATCTTCAGTGGAACTAAGGGGCCTAGCCTGAACCATGAAAAACAGCCCCAGACCATTATCCCTCCTCCACCAAACTTGACAGTTGGCACTATGCATTGGGGCAGGTAGCGTTCTCCTGCCATCCGCCAAACCCAGATTTGTCCGTCGGACTGCCAGATGGTGATGCGTGATTCATCACTCCAGAGAACGCGTTTCCACTGCTCCAGAGTCCAATGGTGGTGAGCTTTACACCACTCAACCCGACGCTTGGCATTGCACAAGGTGATCTTAGGCTTGTGTGTGGCTGCTCAGCCATGGAAACCCATTTCATGAAGCTCCTGACGAACAGTTCTTGTGCTGACGTTGCTTCCAGAGGCAGTTTGGAACTCGGTAGTGAGTGTTGCAAACCGAGGACAGATTATTTTTCTGTTCTGTGAGCTTGTGTGGCCTACCACTTCGCAGTTGAGCCATTGTTGCTCCTAGATGTTTCTACTTCACAAAAACAGCACTTACAGTTGACATGGGCAGTTCTAGCAGGGCAGAAATTTGATGAAGTGCCTTGTTGGAAAGGTGGCATCCTATGACTGTGCCACGTTGACAGTCACTGAGCTCTTCAGTACGGGCCATTCTACTGCCAATGTTTGTCTATGGAGATTGCATGGCTGTCAGCAACAGGTGTGGCTGAAATACCCAAATCCACTCATTTGAAGGGGTCTCCACATACTTTTGGTAATGTAGTGTATATTTGTTTTTCGGTTAGGGATTTTACTTAATGTTAAAGATTCCAATTTTAAGACTCACATTAAAGAAGAGGACGGTAGGGACTGAGGTAATAAGACTCACCTTAAAGAAGAGGAAGGTAGGGACTGAGGTAATAAGACTCACCTTAAAGAAGAGGAAGGTAGGGACTGAGGTAATAAGACTCACCTTAAAGAAGAGGACGGTAGGGACTGAGGTAATAAGACTCACCTTAAAGAAGAGGACGGAAGGGACTGAGGTAATAAGACTCACCTTAAAGAAGAGGAAGGTAGGGACTGAGGTAATAAGACTCACCTTAAAGAAGAGGAAGGTTGGGACTGAGGTAATAAGACTCACCTTAAAGAAGAGGAAGGTTGAGACTGAGGTAATAAGACTCACCTTAAAGAAGAGGAAGGTTGAGACTGAGGTAATAAGACTCACCTTAAAGAAGAGGAAGGTAGGGACTGAGGTAATAAGACTCACCTTAAAGAAGAGGAAGGTTGGGACTGAGGTAATAAGACTCACCTTAAAGAAGAGGAAGGTTGGGACTGAGGTAATAAGACTCACCTTAAAGAAGAGGAAGGTAGGGACTGAGGTAATAAGACTCACCTTAAAGAAGAGGAAGGTAGGTACTGAGGCAATCTCATATTTCTCTGATACCTCTGGCACTGCTTCTGCCTCCAGCTATAGGAGAGAGAGGAGAGAAGGAGGGAGGAAGGGATGGAGAGAGAGAGAGAGAGGACAAAGCAAGGGAAGGGAAGAGAGGGGAAGGGAAGGGAAGGGGAATGAAGAAAGAGATAGAGTGAATGAGGGATCATCCACACAATGCTGATTCCCCTTTGTTCCCTTTCCAAGCCAACAAACAATGAAGAAGCCCCCTGAACCCCACTCCAGTCCCCCCTCAACACTAGATGTATTTAGCCAGGAGGCATCACCCTTCAGGGAGAAAATAAAGCACACATTCACCACTTTGATATTTCTAACAAGCAAGACAAATGAGAGAGCAGAGTAGCACCATCTCCTGCTCTGCTCGGGGTGTTGTGATCTGTGATTGGTGATGGATAGTCGCTTTGTTCTTGACAGTGCTGTGGCAATCCACCAGGACCAAATGAAGGGGACTAGCGTGATCACGCACCTCAAACTAAAACAGTAGAATAAAACAGTTCAAGTTGGCCTTTACTTTACATCGTTAAAAAAAAAGATCACGTTCAATTTCATGTCTAAAAACAATGATGTTTCTGATTTCTTTGAGTTTTTTTTTTTTTTAAAGACTTCACCGAGGATTCCAGGTCAAGTTAGCTACCTTCCAACACTGGACCATCACACAAACAGGGCTTTGAAGGTTTGTATTTCACCATGAATTCCCAGAAATGCCCCCCAAGGCAGAGGAAAGGAGAACCAACATTGATGCACTACTGACCCAGAGAATGTTCAATCATATTTAGCTGGCACATATTGAAATCCATAAATCACTGACCCAGGTTGTCGCAGCCAGCCATTACAGACGGGCGATTACAGACATCACTTATTTCCTGCCTGGAGCCAACTCTGCTGTTGGTGCTGCTGCCCCATGGGGCGTAGCATTATGACTGACAGTCACTTATAGGCTCTGTGAACACTACCTACATTCACGCAGTGAAATATAGCTATGAGGGTGGCGACATATAGTCACTAAATATGTATAGCCAAATGCTTGTTTCCATGTGACATGGGCAATAACAGTGATATTGATTGATTAAAGACAACCTAGGCTGGGTACAGGAAGAAAATACTCATATTGGAGTCTATAGGAATATTGTTAATAAATGTGTATGGGGGGAAAAAATAACTTGAAACACAAATTAAGAAAACAGCTCTTTTGCAGTGTACGATCAGTGTACGATTGCAGTGTACGATTTTGCAGTGTACGATTTTTGCAGTGTTGGATCAAATATCAAATCTACTGGTTAGGCCTACGTCATTATGAAAAAGGATAGCATATCTCTCCTTGATCACTGTACACAAGCCATAAGTCTTTATCGTATCGCCCCCCCCTCTCCCACCCCTATACCACAGGTCTAATCAGACATGAACCAGGCAGACAGAGAGAGAGGAACAGAGACAGAGTGACAGAGAGAGAGAGAGAGAGACAGAGACAGAGAGACAGATAGAGAGAGAAGAGACAGAGAGAAACAGAGAGACAGAGACAGAGAGACAGAGAGACAGAGAGACAGAGAGACAGAGTGACAGAGAGAGAGGAACAGAGACAGAGAGAAAGAGAGAATATCACTACCAGGCAGATCCTCTGGGTCCCAGGAGAGGGAGAGGCATTATGACGGAGTCCCTGACCAGAGTTCCAAATGTGTTACTATCTTATTTTTATCTATTTGTTAATTTTCTACTTTTTAACTGCATTGTTGGGAAAGGGGCTCGTAGTTAAGCATTTCACGGTAAAGTCTACACTTGTTGTATTCTCTCTCTCTCTCCAGTATGAAAAATGTATGCACTCACTAACTGTGAGTCGCTCTGGATAAGACCGTCTGCTAAATGACTAAAATTTAAAAGTATTCGGATGTGACAAATAAAATGTGATTTGAAACGGCACCGTATTCCCTAAATCGCTAGTGCACTACTTTGCACCTATGGGCTCTGGTCAAAAGCAGTGCACTACAAAGGGAACACTACATCTTTTCAGAATACTCTCAAATCTCAGGATATAAAATGAATGTGGAAAAAATGGAAATAATGGCAATAGGAAAAACAATAACTCATGATCTACGTGGTCCTCTGGTCCTCTGTAACTCAGCTGGTAGAGCACGGCGCTTGGTCCTCTGTAGCTCAGCTGGTAGAGCACGGTGCTTGGTCCTCTGTAGCTCAGCTGGTAGAGCACGGTGCTTGTAACGCTCAGGGTAGTGGGTTCGATCCCCGGGACCACACATACGTAAAAATGTATGTACGCATGACTGTAAGTCGCTTTGGATAAAAGCGTCTGCTAAATGGCGTGTTGTTGTTGTTGTTGTTGTCTACAGCAGTCCTTTAAGTGGACCACAAAAAAAGATCATACTTCGCATGATTAATAAGTGACAACAAACAAATATATAAAAATCCCTTTATCCCATTACTCAACAATATGAAAGCAGATCTAATTAAATGGAACAATCTTCCCATAAATCTTACAGGTAGAATAAACGTCTTCAGAATGGCATGGCTCCCAGAGTCATTGTATTTATTCTGGGTAATACCAATTACCCCACCGAAGACGTTCTTTTAAAAAAGTATGCTCGGCCATAACAGATTTTATATGACCAAATAAAACTCATAGAATAAGATGGAAAGTTGTACATCTTCCTAAGTCTGAGTGTGGTTTTAAACTCACCACCCAAGGCTTTTACTTTAGTGCTAAATGCACTAAAGAGGAACAATGCGTACATATTGAAGATGCACATGCTCACCCCCAAAATATTTTCACGTCTATTTTCAAAGGATAAATCTAAAGACCATTAACAACTTCATAGTTAAGAACACTATAACAATATGGAAGAAAATTCTACGCATTCTACAAGAACCAATATCACTCCCAAAAAACACAACCCTATGAAACAATCCTTGGATAGCTTTTCAGAATTCACCGATAAATTGGTCCACATGGAAAACTAAAAAGGCATAGAAACCGTGAATTACTTGGTAACAGGAAATACATGTATTTCCATGACAAAATGTAAAATCAATTTTGGACTGACCAATGTAGATATTTTCAAATACATGCAACTTAAAAGTTTCATATCAAGAAATTTCAATTAGAAATCTTTTGGACCATCAGAGCAATCTTGAGGGAATCCTATTTTAGTCAGAAAATGATACTCAGATTGTAGGTAAGGTATACAAAACCTTGCAGAGAGTCTGTCCAACTGACAACCTCTTAGAAAACAATAGAAATTGGAACTAGGGCTTTTGCAGTGACCATATTTCCGCCACAAGGGCAGTCATCAGTCAAGACCGCAGTAAAATTCCAAAATGCCATGTGACCGTTGTTGAGTCATGGTAATAATAAATTATAAATAATTAGTCATTTAGCAGACGCTCTTATCCAGAGCGACTTACAGTAATCTCCTCTTATGCACTCCGGACATGCTTTGGTAGAACCTAACTCGCTAACTACCATCAAGGTCCGAATGGCCTGGTACTCAGGGCTCTATTGTCCCTCTAACCACTCTGACATCAATGCAAATGCAATAAAAAAAAATCACATCAAACACTCACCATTAAAACAGTAGGCCTGTCTTACTTTTAAAACTCACCTCACTGTGATGATCAATTTGAAGAATAAAGTTCAACAGCAGGTTGAAACAGTGTAAAACATGGTTGCTGTGGATGTTGTTTCAAAGGCTAACACAAAAAAAATTGACAGCGCTTTCTAAGGTGATGATTAATTCAAAACACTCATATGTATATTAGAGCTTATGCGCATAGGCCTACACTCCAAGATTCAACACAATTCTAGTAATGGCCTTTGAGTGTGGACAGTATTATTATGCATACTGGATGGACTGGTTACCTTATGCTACGCTCCAAAATGTCTATCCACTAGTCTGGGAGAGAACGTATAGCCCTAGGCAATGCTGTTGGTTCATTGATTGTGCAGGGCGGCTTACAGTTAGCCTACAATTAGTGAATTTGTATTTGAATAGCCTAGTAATAGGGAATTTTTATATATTCATAATTAATTGGGTGACATTACCTTTAGCTATACAGCATCTCACCACCATGCGTTTCCATCTCCTCCTCTCTCCTTTATTCCTTTCTCCAGTGCGCAGAGAGACGGGCTGTCAACAGTTCAGTGAAATATGTTTTGTTGCGATGTTCCCGAACAGATTTAACTTGGTTTCCCAAAATGAAGCACTGGGTAGCTGCAGAAACAAGGTTGGAGAGCCCGTGGCATACAGAGTACTGGGTAGCTGGAGGAACAGGGTTGGAGAGCCCATGGCATACAGAGTACTGGGTAGCTGGAGGAACAGGGTTGGAGAGCCCACGGCATACGGAGTACTGGGTAGCTGCAGAAACAGGATTGGAGAGCCCATGGCATACAGAGTACTGGGTAGCTGGAGGAACAGGGTTGGAGAGCCCATGGCATACGGAGTACTGGGTAGCTGGAGGAACAGGGTTGGAGAGCCCATGGCATACGGAGTACTGGGTAGCTGGAGGAACAGGGTTGGAGAGCCCATGGCATACAGAGTACTGGGTAGCTGGAGGAACAGGGTTGGAGAGCCCATGGCATACAGAGTACTGGGTAGCTGGAGGAACAGGGTTGGAGAGCCCATGGCATACGGAGTTTGGGCGGAATATCACCTGGTCGGGGCAGTGAGAGCGTGCTCCTCAAACAGTGGTTGATGTGTGGAGTGAAATAAGAGGTCTTATATTTATTTCCCAGCTGCTCGTATTAACCTGCTCCGCTATAAAACCACAGTAACCTACAGAACGGACCGGTGGGAAAGCGCGCCGCCTCCATTCGCTATTCCAGTCAACACAGATTACATGTATTTTTTTCTCCTGCCCCTGTTCATTTGATAAATGGGCCATTCTAAATCTAAACTCATTTTACATATTAGTAAAGATTAAATTGAGAATAGTCTGATGGGTGAAAATATGATCACTTGATGAGAGAACAGCTGTGCAGTCTGAGGTGAGGAACAGAGCAAGCTTTTTTTGTTTGCTACTTTCTCAAATCATCAATATCCTCTAGTCGCATCATGCAGCCCAGATATCACCATGCAGCCCAGATATCACCATGCAGCCCATATATCACCATGCAGCCCATATATCACCATGCAGCCCATATATCACCATGCAGCCCAGATATCACCATGCAGCCCATATATCACCATGCAGCCCATATATCACCATGCAGCCCAGATATCACCATGCAGCCCATATATCACCATGCAGCCCAAATATCACCATGCAGCCCAAATATCACCATGCAGCCCATATATCACCATGCAGCCCATATATCACCATGCAGCCCATATATCACCATGCAGCCCATATATCACCATGCAGCCCAGATATCACCATGCAGCCCAGATATCACCATGCAGCCCAGATATCACCATGCAGCCCAGATATCACCATGCAGCCCAGATATCACCATGCAGCCCAGATATCACCATGCAGCCCATATATCACCATGCAGCCCAGATATCACCATGCAGCCCAGATATCACCATGCAGCCCAGATATCACCATGCAGCCCAGATATCACCATGCAGCCCATACATCACCATGCAGCCCATACATCACCATGCAGCCCATACATCACCATGCAGCCCAGATATCACCATGCAGCCCAGATATCACCATGCAGCCCAGATATCACCATGCAGCCCAAATATCACCATGCAGCCCATATATCACCATGCAGCCCATATATCACCATGCAGCCCATACATCACCATGCAGCCCATATATCACCATGCAGCCCATATATCACCATGCAGCCCATATATCACCATGCAGCCCATATATCACCATGCAGCCCATATATCACCATGCAGCCCATATATCACCATGCAGCCCAGATATCACCATGCAGCCCAGATATCACCATGCAGCCCAGATATCACCATGCAGCCCAGATATCACCATGCAGCCCAGATATCTTTAGATTTCTAAGACATTCTCAGGTTTGTATCATTCAGAACTAAAGCTGCCAAATAACTCTAAATCTAGCATATATGACCTGTTTCAAGTGATCACTTTTACGCTCCATATAGCCACGTCATATGAGCACTTGCTCCGTAATGGGAAAAATATTATTTATATTTTATTCAGCTAAGTTCAATTGTATTCTTCTTACTATAAAATCATATAAAATAATGGCACGAGACTTATAAGCGTATCTTGTCTGCTAAATGAACAACCATACAACCTATGGCATGGAGTATAGCCAGATAACATACAGTAGGCTAACTCATATTCTGTTCTTCTGAAATACATTTTCTTCATATCATAATATTTATTTAGACCTGACTACAATAAATAATGGATTTACTGTGATGGTGTATTTTACATTTGTTTATTAGACTTTTTTTTTAAAGAGGTTTGCTGGAGGCCAAGAGATGCTAAATGTGTTTATGTTAATTAACAGTCAATTACTGTGAGAACCGGCAGTCACAGCTCTCATTGGAACCAAGACTTAAAAATAACTACTATTAGAGGGAATGTTGGAAAGTAACTAACAAAATTACAGGTAACGAAAAGTGACACTTAATCTAGCATAACTTAATGTATAGAATGTATTTTACAAGAGACAAAATTCTACAGCACAACGGCAGAGTCATGTCTGAAGTCTTTCTCCCGAGTGGCGCAGTGGTCTAAGGCACTGCATCACAGTGCTAGCTGTGCCACTAGAGATCCTGGTTCGAATCCAGGCTCTGTCGTAGCCGGCCGCGACCGGGAGACCCATGGGGCGGCGCACAATTGGCCCAGGGTAGGGGAGGGAATGGCCGGCAGGGATGTAGCTCAGTTGGTAGAGCATGGCGTTTGCAACGCCAGGGTTGTGGGTTCGATTCCCACGGGGGGCTACTATGATAAATAAAAATGTATGCACTAACTGTAAGTCGCTCTGGATAAGAGTGTCTGCTAAATGACAAAAATGTAAATGTACAGTGGGAAAAAAAAGTATTGAGTCAGCCACCAATTGTGCAAGTTCTCCCACTTAAAAAGATGAGAGAGGCCGGTAATTTTCATCATAGGTACACGTCAACTATGACAGACAAATTGAGGAAAAAAAATCCAGAAAATCACATTGTCGGATTTTTAATGAATTTATTTGCAAATTATGGTGGAAAATAAGTATTTGGTCAATAACAAAAGTTTCTCAATACTTTCTTATATACCCTTTGTTGGCAATGACACAGGTCAAACGTTTTCTGTAAGTCTTCACAAGGTTTTCACACACTGTTGCTGGTATTTTGGCCCATTCCTCCATGCAGATCTCCTCTAGAGCAGTGATGTTTTGGGGCTGTCGCTGGGCAACACGGACTTTCAACTCCCTCCAAAGATTTTCTATGGGGTTGAGATCTGGAGACTGGCTAGGCCACTCCAGGACCTTGAAATGCTTCTTACGAAGCCACTCCTTCGTTGCCCGGGCGGTGTGTTTGGGATCATTGTCATGCTGAAAGACCCAGCCACGTTTCATCTTCAATGCCCTTGCTGATGGAAGGAGGTTTTCACTCAAAATCTCACGATACATGGCCCCATTCATTCTTTCCTTTACACGGATCAGTCGTCCTGGTCCCTTTGCAGAAAAACAGCCCCAAAGCATGATGTTTCCACCCCCATGCTTCACAGTAGGTATGGTGTTCTTTGGATGCAACTCAGCATTCTTTGTCCTCCAAACACGACGAGTTGAGTTTTTACCAAAAAGTTCTATTTTGGTTTCATCTGACCATATGACATTCTCCCAATCCTCTTCTGGATCATCCAAATGCACTCTAGCAAACTTCAGACGGGCCTGGACATGTACTGGCTTAAGCAGGGGGACACGTCTGGCACTGCAGGATTTAAGTCCCTGGCGGCGTAGTGTGTTACTGATGGTAGGCTTTGTTACTTTGGTCCCAGCTCTCTGCAGGTCATTCACTCGGTCCCCCCGTGTGGTTCTGGGATTTTTGCTCACCGTTCTTGTGATCATTTTGACCCCACGGGGTGAGATCTTGCGTGGAGCCCCAGATCGAGGGAGATTATCAGTGGTCTTGTATGTCTTCCATTTCCTAATAATTGCTCCCACAGTTGATTTCTTCAAACCAAGCTGCTTACCTATTGCAGATTCAGTCTTCCCAGCCTAGTGCAGGTCTACAATTTTGTTTCTGGTGTCCTTTGACAGTTCTTTGGTCTTGGCCATAGTGGAGTTTGGAGTGTGACTGTTTGAGGTTGTGGACAGGTGTCTTTTATACTGATAACAAGTTCAAACAGGTGCCATTAATACAGGTAACGAGTGGAGGACAGAGGAGCCTCTTAAAGAAGAAGTCACAGGTCTGTGAGAGCCAGAAATCTTGCTTGTTTGTAGGTGACTAAATACTTATTTTCCACCATAATTTGCAAATAAATTCATTAAAAAATCCTACAATGTGATTTTCTGGAGAAAAAAATTCTCAATTTGTCTGTCATAGTTGACGTGTACCTATGATGAAAATTACAGGCCTCTCATCTTTTTAAGTGGGAGAACTTGCACAATTGGTGGCTGACTAAATACTTTTTTTCCCCACTGTAAGTGTAAAACTACTAATGACTCAATAATCCATGCCTTCTGGGAACGCTATAAAGTCCAAAAGTTATGGGCGGAGTCAGAAAGTTGGCTGTCATATGTATCACAATGTACAGAGGTCAGTCGTTGTCTTTAGTAGCCTATAATCAGGTGGAATAGCAGGTTCCCATCTCACATCATGCTTCCCTTTTTTGCCTTCAAGATTACAATTTTTCTAAAACTGAATCTATGGCATTATTTAGGATGCTTAAGACAGAAGCATATACTAAACGAAATAAAACAAATTATTTGAACAACAGAAAGTGTGGTTTCACATAAAACAATTTTCAAAATAGTGTGCCTTCAACATGATTCGACCTCACGACCCTCAAGTCCCTGAATGCTCCAAAGTTCCCTACTCTACCTGCTAAGCTACCGGTCAGGTGAAACTTTCTGTACAACATCCTAACTATATATGTAACTACGGTGTCCAGTAGAGGTCAGTGTTTGAAAGCAGCTTGGTACTTCTGAAAAAGTGATCCACGCATCGACACACTGCTTTGAAGTTAACTGCTTAGCAATTTTCACACGTCTCAGAGCTCCGGTATTACATTTAACATCACTACATGTAACATCCATCGCAAGGTATATTAAGTGCATCAGGCATCGTGTAACATCCATCACAAGGTATATTATCCATCACAAGGTATATTATGTGCATCAGGCATCGTGTAACATCCATCACAAGGTATATTATCCATCACAAGGTATATTAAGTGCATCAGGCATCGTGTAACATCCATCACAAGGTATATTATGTGCATCAGGCATCGTGTAACATCCATCACAAGGTATATTATCCATCACAAGGTATATTAAGTGCATCAGGCATCGTGTAACATCCATCACAAGGTATATTATGTGCATCAGGCATCGTGTAACATCCATCACAAGGTATATTATGTGCATCAGGCATCGTGTAACATCCATCACAAGGTATATTATCCATCACAAGGTATATTAAGTGCATCAGGCATCGTGTAACATCCATCACAAGGTATATTATGTGCATCAGGCATCGTGTAACATCCATCACAAGGTATATTATCCATCACAAGGTATATTAAGTGCATCAGGCATCGTGTAACATCCATCACAAGGTATATTATGTGCATCAGGCATCGTGTAACATCCATCACAAGGCATATTACAGTATGTACCTTGACAAACATGGTGTGTTTGTTCTCCTTTGCCAGCTCTCCCATCACATCGTTCATCTGACTGCACTGTGGGGCCCATGCTGCCTGGAAGTGGACCACTGTCAAGAACCTGGTGGAACAGAGAAGTTACATTAGATTGTGGTCCTCTGTAGCTCAGCTGGTAGAGCACGGCGCTTGTAACGCCAAGGTAGTGGGTTCGATCCCCGGGACCACCCATACACAAAAAAAATGTATGCACGCATGACTGTAAGTCGCTTTGGATAAAAGCGTCTGCTAAATGGCATATTATATATTATATTATTATATTGGAATGGTGTAAGGCCGTGGGTACACCGGTGAGGCTCAAGGAAGAGACAGGTGTCAGATCTCAGAATAGCAATAGGTCTAAAACAGCACAACTTTATAGACACGCAGATTCATATGCTAAAGATGTGGGACATGCACGCACACTTGCCAGCTACTGTCCACCATCAGTAGGCCTAGATAATTGACGTTGTTGTCATCCACTAATTCTTACCTCCCATACAGTGATGATCATGCACGAGATCGCTGACCAACTGAACATCACATGACTAGGACAGTGGATCATAACAGGAATCTTCTGGAATTAAATATTATTTTATAGCCTACTTTTGATGACGGATTTCAAGAGCACAATAACTGAATGGACCTAGTTAGCTTCATAATTCTGAAATGGGCATGTGATGTTATTTTTACATTTACATTTTACATTTTAGTCCTTTAGCAGACGCTCTTATCCAGAGCGACTTACAGTGAGTGCATACATTACATGTTTTTTTGTTGTTGTTATTATTATTATTATTTTTATACTGGCCCCCCGTGGGAAATGAACCCACAACCCTGGCGTTGCAAACGCCATGCTCTACCAACTGAACTACATCCCTGCCGGCCGTTCCCTCCCCTAACCTGGACGACGCTGGGCCAATTGTGCGCCGCCCAATTGGTCTCCCGGTCACGGCCGGCTACGACAGAGCCTGGATTCGAACCAGGATCTCTAGTGGCACAGCTACTAGAGATGCGCCACTGCGCCACTCGGGAGTACCTCTGTTATGTGGGATAACACTAGTCATGTCTGATAAGGAGTTAATCGCTCACTTTCATATGGGGGCTTGTCCTACATTATAAGGCATAGAAAAGTATGTCTGCCTAATAGAAAGGCTCGCCTAGCCCCGTCATCTTCTCCTTTCCCCCTTCTGATAACCAGGTGGCGAATCACATCTCTGCATGTCTGGCAGACATATCAATAATAATTGTAAAGTGGTTGTCCCACTGGCTATCATAAGGTGAATGCACCAATATGTAAGTCGCTCTGGATAAGAGCGTCTGCTAAATGATGTAAAATGTTAAATGTTAAATGTAAATCTCATGACAAGAATTCCACACGAGTTCAAGACGCAGAGCGTGACAGTTCATATCAGATAAACGCATCAGCATGTACAATGATCAATTACATTCACACCTTGTACAATAAAAATGTATGTTATTAGTTAGCTAGATGTCCAAGTTCGTTGTCGTCCGACGACATGCTAAAGCAAATATTCGCTCAAATGGCTAGCTAGTTATACTTTCATTTGGAGCAGCTAGATAGCTAGTTAACGTTACCTAAAAGGGTGAAGCTACATCACGCTAGCTTGCTAGATGTCGATATAACATAAAAGTAGCTATCATAGCAAGCTAAATATCATACTAGGTATATTTGAATTAAACTCATTCAATAGCTAATTGCTTAAATGTCATATTATGAAATGATGTACATACTTGCCAGCCTTTGATAGCAAGTCCTCAAACTGCTGCGAGGATGTTGCCTCCACAAAATTCGCCATGTTTTCAGACGTGTGTAATCGCTGACCGAGTGATCGTGTTTTCAGACATTTGTAATCACTGACCGAGTGATCGTGTTCTATATGGATTGCCAGAAGATACCGACTCTACTATTAAGCTTGTTAACACTGAGTTGCACTGGGGTCAGAACGCAATAATGATTACATAAAGACACAGTGAACCCTGCGCTAGACATGGGTCTGAAAACGTACCTCAATGCAGGGATGGGATATGCCACTGTACTCCAAAATTTGGACTACAGTGGCATATCACATCCATGCATTGAGTTACATTTACCGAACCATATATCGCCTGGCTCCACAGTTAATGTAATGCTTACTTTGTTCCGACCCCAGTGCAGCTCAGTGTAAACAAGCTAATGGTAGAGTCGGTATCTTCTGGCAACTACATGGCTGGAACAAGACATAACTATGTACACAGAGTAGGTCTACGACTGATCTATTAATTACAATTAATAACCAACATGTTAAAATACAAAAACATAGCTATGTTATTGTTATTATTCTAATGCAGAAAATGTGTTGAGCATGCATTTGGTGGCGGGAAAAACAAATTCAATCAATCAATCAAATGTATTTTATAAAGCACTTTTTACATCAGCAGTTGTCACAAGGTGCTATACAGATATCCCCCCGCCCCCGCTGCTTGAAATGGATTCTGATTGGCTGTCTATCTTGAAATGGATTCTGATTGGCTGTCTATCTTAAAATGGTTTCTGGTTGGCTGTCTATCTTGAAATGCATTCTGATTGGCTGTCTATCTTGAAATGGATTCTGATTGGCTGGCTATCATTGGAAGTCTTCAACCCGGGACAACACTTTCAAATGTCAGAAGCAGAGAAATGAATAGAGCGGTTGTCGTGTCCTTGCGGTAGAAAAGCGAAATGAAAGTGAAATAGCTAACTAACCAGATAATAAGGTAGCCAGAGATTGAACCGTTTGTAGCCACTACTAGTTGAAATTTCATTAATTTGATATCGCAGCCAGACGTTTCTGAAAATACCTCGTTAGCATTAGCTAGCTAGCTAACTGGACGTGTTATGCTTGCTTGCCAGCTATCTAACGTTACTGTTACCTTTGACATTTTGTTATTAAACTCAGTCGATAGATCTAAAAAAAATAACTAGGTATAATACTTTTCCACAACCATGGAATATATGACACCCCTCCAGAAGAAGAGACGCCACCAAGGGGACCTTCAAAACTGGAAAGATTGCCAAGCGGTATGAAGCTAACCTTAGCTAGTTTATTGCCTGGAAACCCGACGTTGAATTGCATTGAATTCTACATCGGGCAGAAATTAGCGTTTTGAATTTTAACGTTAAAATACAATTTTATTCAACAACATTCTGGATTGTAGAGGCCGTTGTGAGAGGAAACTACCCGGATTCAAGCGCTCATTTCTGCCCGACGTAGAATTCAATGCAATTCAACGTCGGGTTTCCAGGCAATAACGTTATCCTGTTGCTTTAGTTATAAAGATCTGTGCTATTGTTGTATTTATAATTTAACTAACACCAGTCTAGCTAACTGGCTATTGAAATAGCTGTCCAGTTGGCTTGTTACTATTTTTAGGCTAAATCAGTTAATAGTGATTAATTGGCTAGTCACATTTCAGTGGTTATCACGTGTGTATGTATTTGTATTGCTACTAGTTTAACTAACCTTGCATGCATATATGGTTGTAAGGTAGCTAGCTAAGCTAACGCATAGAGAGCTAACGTTAGTGGGGTGTTTACAAAAAGCACGTGTAACTTACACAGTCTCAGGAAGAAACTTTATCTTAGTACCTTAGAATAGTAGCTAAGTGAATGCATGCCTATAAAAAATGTAGCTAGCTAGATCGATCTTTGCCTGTCATGTTATGCAACCATGCTGCGTTGTTTGAATCCTCAGAAACGACTGTGCAACGGGGTGGGAGTCTACATCCAGGTTGAACATGGCGCGATGGTGACTGACAGTGGCATGGATGCCAGTATGCAACAGCAGAGTGTCCCAAACAGCATCAACCACCCAGCTTCTAACATGGTAGCTATGCATATTAAACGATTTTTTTAAAAATCTTTCTCTGCTACATTCTAAGGCCTATATTCCCAATGACTTAGCTTCCCATGTGCATTGCAGGAGTGTTTTGTGGTCCGTGTTTTCCTCCTGAATGATGCTATAGTAGTAATAAAGGTGAATAGGTGAAGGAGTAAGGGACGCTAGGCGTACCCATGACAACATGCTTCCTCAACATCTCTAAGGTGCAGCGGTAGCTATATTTATGACAGTTTAACTGTTTGGGAAATTCAACATCATCCTTACCCAGTCTCTGTCAGGAATTTGGCTAGTGCCACAATGTTGACGTGACCTTTTATATTTCCTTTCACTTTACTGTGGAATTGTCCATCCGTCATAATCAGCCTTTGAATAGTCTTGGCTTCTATGCAGTGTTCATCCTCAAATATTGTTTTGCAGAACTACAGTATGACAATCCATTCAATAATCAGTATAATAATGATTGCCGTAATAACCCACCAGTCTCGTGTCTTCTCTTGTACAGGTCTATGCAGTCCAAGGCAGCCAGTGCTGTAATCGCTGCCTGGCAGGGGAGCCTGTAAGTAGCGCCTCAACGTATCCCAGTAATATGGATGACTGATATCATACAGTGAGGGAAAAAAAGTATTTGATCCCCTGCTGATTTTGTACGTTTGCCCACTGACAAAGAAAAGATCAGTCTATAATTTTAATGGTAGCTTTATTTGAACAGTGAGAGACAGAATGACAACAGGGTATATAACAAAGTATTGAGAAACTTTTGTTATTGACCAAATACTTATTTTCCACCATAATTTGCAAATAAATTCATTAAAAATCCTACAATGTGATTTTCTGGAGAAAAAAAATCTCATTTTGTCTGTCATAGTTGACGTGTACCTATGATGAAAATTACAGGCCTCTCTCATCTTTTTAAGTGGGAGAACTTGCACAATTGGTGGCTGACTAAATACTTTTTTTCCCCACTGTAGAAGGGTTGGCCCTCAGACTAAAGAACCGACCATATTGACCATCGAGCGTTTAGAAGGGTTGGCCCTCAGACTAAAGAACCTACCATATTGACCATGGAGCGTTTAGAAGGGTTGGCCCTCAGACTAAAGAACCGACCATTCTGGACTTTCTAATGTCCAAAGGGTTCATCAGTCCCCCCAGGATTCTGGCATCACTTTTTTGTTGTTGTTCTTCAAAATCAACAATTCCCTGCATATTATGTGAGGGCTTGTAAATTTGACCAATCACTGCACTATTTCCATTTAAAACAGTCAAATCATCGCAATATTATCACATAAAACTGACCCATCACCGCAGCACAAAAAGAGGGCTTGCAATTTCAACCAAAATGAGCACATTTACCACCATAATATGGTTAAATCAAGCTACACATCAACAAACTCTCCCCCCCCGTCAGCATATTTTCAAGACAAATTAGACTAAATCATAGAATATTGCCATGCAAAGTGTCAGGATTGCCACAGCAAAATCAAGCAGTTTGCCCATAAAAATCCCATTTAAAATGCTGGAGGGACTGGTTAATGAACATGACATGGCTTGCGTCCCAAATAGCACCCTGTTCCCTAATAGGGAAGAGGGTACCGTTTGGGATGCCGGCATTATGTAAATGTGAAGGGTTTGTTCCATATAGGTTACCTGTGTCACATTGTGAGTCCCCCTCTCTTCTCAGGGGCACATTAACCACATCATGGGGTATTGATCGGTCATCGCCATGATCAGAGATCATTTGAAGAACTTGAAGGATCCTTGAGGATGAAGCGAATGATTGATTGATCAAGCCATGGCGTGTGTGTGTGGCTGTGAACGTTCGTTAGAAAGGAGCCTTGACTTTTCTTGCTTTTTACCACTAGTACTGTATTGCTTCACAGATATAGCCTCACATGTTTACACTACCTAACACTGGTATGGGAAAAGGGCTGTTAACCAAACAGTAGACATGATCATTTCATTACCATCTTAATAACATTCTGTTTTGAATGGAAAGACAACCACTACAGTGTAGTCTACATACAACGATAAGGAATGAGCCATCAAGCCACAATTTAATACTGTAACTTTACAATGTAACGAGGATACTCATTTTAAAGTCAATGGCTGCATTACACAAATAACTGTTATTGTCCCAGTATCAAAACGGCTTCTAAAGCTGCCAGAAAATACAGAATGTAAATAATCATGATATTGTTAAGTAAATCAATGTTTTGAAGCGATATCATTGTAAACCTTTTGGAAATGGATAATCATGTCTGCAAATATATATTTTGTTAAATATTTTATATATTTTTGTAAAATGTAATTGGCTGAATATAAAATAAGAACTTTTCTAACAATATTTCTGATAATCATTTAATTTTGGCTAGTGTCCTGAATTTAGTGTTAATCTCATGAACCGTTTCAACCACTATATTGTTTTCAATAGTTTGATCGGCACTTGAAATGTAGTGCTGTTTGACAATGCTGTGTCTATTTCCCACTAGATTTTGTTTTGTGTTATCTTACAATGATTTGAAGCCAGTTTCCTCCTTGCTAAGCAATGATTTTTATGGAAGGAATAGACAATAGTTGATGCTGTTAGATTTAGGTTATGACTCAATGAAATAGTTTTATTTTTAGTACGAGGAAAAACTACTTTCAATAAAGTATGGTTTGATTAAACATGGTGGACGTTTTAGATGTATTTCTGTGACTACTATTTGTCATTGTTATCCAATGCCTTTGTATATGAAGCTTATTTCCAGATCTCATCTATTCTGTTCACCAGCTTCTACTGCCTTCTGTACATTATGGATCTTTACCCTAAAGCAGTCTGGGATGTTTACTAGTGAATTATATGTGAACAGCATTTATTCAGTTACGTTTTTGTCTCACTTGTTTGAGGATACGTTTTGTTACATATTACTGCTTGCTGTCTTTGGTTCACATTTCTCATGTCAGGAGGTAGCATATACTATAGCTAGCAT